AAAACAAACATTGATTAATAAACATACTAAAATAAGAATGACAATTAGTTTAATTGGTTGTTTACCGTAAAACGCTCCCAGAATGGCTTTTTGTCATCTACATGTATTGCTCCCCAAATAGGCCATGGATTCAAATATTGTTACTTAATTAATCGTGTGATGGCCTAGGAAGGAACCTTGGATGGAATAAACCTGCATATAAAGAAATAAAAGTCATTTGAAGTAAGACAAACTTTGAACATCAACATTGTTAAAAAAGGGATTAAAGTCTTAGCCTTTACCATATGGCTCAATCCATGGTCGATCATGGAGGGGCGGGTTAACACCATCACCATCACCAGCTAAATCTGGATCAACAGATGGTGTGGCAGTCTCATAAGGCGGTATAGAAGATGAGGAAGGTATATAAGTAGGGTCAGAGGGAGAAGTAGGGGTAATAATCATGGGGGGAGGAGTGAGGGTAATAATCACAGGAGGAGGAAGAATATTTGTTATAGGGGTAAGAGGAGGGTATATTGTAGGGGTAGGAGGAGGGTGTACTACATGGGTAGGAAGAGGGTGTACAACAGGGGTAGGAGAAGGCCCCACAGATGATGAACTAGGGGCAGCAGTGATAGGTAGTGTAGCATGCACCCTAAGTACATACTTTGGTGCCTTTCGTTCCCTCTTTTTAGGCCTTGCTACTCCCTTTCCTTTATCACGACATTCTGAACCTTCTTCTATCATGACTGCATTCAAATGGTTACAAATAAAGTGAAAGAATAAAAAAGTATAAGGAAGGACAAGTACAAATTAATGTGAATGTAAAATAGTTGCATACAACTTTTAAGATGGTATTTTGCATAACTCAATTGGAATGTTTTTGAAATGATAGTTAAATTTGCTACAATAGATGTCCAACATTCAATCATCGTCATCATCATCTTCATCTTCTTCTTGTTCTTTATCATCATCATCATTATCATTATCTTCTTCTTCATCATCATATTCTTCTTCTTCTTCTTCTTCTTCTTCTTCTTCTTCTTCTTCTTCTTCTTCTCCTTCTTGTCCTCCTTGTATTGGTGCTTCTAACTCATCTCCATCACCATCAGGGTCGTGCAATGTGGTTATACGTTCAACTTCAATAATTTGTTGTGGTTGTGACATTTGGTCAAGTTGGTAGGCGACATCTTCCTCAACCTCATTTGGGTCAATGCGACCTCTAGGCTTGGTTTGTATTGCAATAGCCCAACCACGTTTGTCAATATTGCGGTGGTGGATATTGCACATAATAAACCTGTTTGACATTAGTTGGTAGAATGAAAGGATCAAACGGTCGATATCTTAATCTCAGGTGGAGTTCGACAATGTTAAACCTAGGATCCACTATAGTACCAANTTGTTAACTTGAAAGTTTCATCTATGATTTTAAGACACAATATTTAAGTTATTATCTATTTCAGGCAACATTGGAAGCTACTTGTGATTTACGTACTGAACAACATTGCTATGTTGTTCTGTTCATTACACAAGTCTCCTCCCAAACATCTTAAACAAGTAGTAGATTCGTAAGAACGTCAATGTTATGAACTATATTTGTTATATAAGTGTATCCTAAATCATTCATTTTTTCATTATTCAATTGTAGTACATATGATGTTGTTACGGAAATCAATTACTAATGCTAAAAAACTTGCACGGTTGGCCTTCAAGGTTTGATATTTTTGTCCATACTTTCTTATAATTGTTTTATTCCAACTATCTTTGTTAATTAATTATTATTGCCATGATATATTGTAGTGTAATAAACAAACCAACTCATATGAGTGTGATCACTATGTAATGAATTGGATGACAACAACTATTCATGCACATATATACTACACTACAAAAAATATAATTTTTTTAAAGTTATTTTTAGCGTTATCGACGGTTTTAACCCCTGAAAAATACGTTACCCGTGGTTGCAAAAACCATTAGAAAAAACAGTGTCGTTAAGTATTACCAACGATTTTGGGCTAAAATCACCGCAATTTCTCGGGGTTCTACTAAAACCGCCGCTATTTCCTGGAGTTATGAGAAACTGTCGGTATTTGTAGGGTTTTTGCTAAAACCGCCGGAAATCATCAGAGTTTTATAGAAATTATTGAAAATGACTGGGGTTTTATAAAAACCGTAAAAAATGATCGAGATTTTGTAGAAACCGTCGGAAATCACCGCAACTTTATAGAAACCACTGGAATGTACTGATGAGCATACAAGGGAGACTGGGAACCTGGCCATGCTTTTTCATATTGAAAAATAACTCCTTTGCATATTTAATTAACTTTAGAGTTCACTTTTAATCTTTAGTGTGTTGATGTGGCCCTATTAGCATAACAAAATTTAAAATCAAACAGTAAACATTTATTCTTTATAAAAATATAGTTAGGTAGTTAACTACCACGGTCATGCTGATTTTTTTTTTCTAAGAAAGCCACCATGACCATGCTTATTCAGTTGCCCCATATGGAGTAATACAATCATGTAGAGTCGCACTACTACATGAATTATCACAAAACAGACCTTTAAAAAGTACTTTTTTTTATTCTTCATAAAAGCATTAAGCCTGTTTTAATGTTCGAATTAATGTTGTTTGAATAGTAAAATAAGATTTTTAGCAGTATTTAACTTTAATTTTTAGAGTGCAATATCCAAGATTTTAGTCTATTGTTAAATTTCAACTCCTTCAATTACATTAGTTAAATTTCAATTTCTTATTCTTCAATATATACATGTACATTGTGTCACACTTTACCATTTATAAATGTGATGCTTTAAGTAAATCCTCTCTGTTAGTGGGTTTATCCATATGATAGTCCATTCCACTCTCTACAGTTATTCTTTCGGTTCCAGCAGTCAATCCAATGAAAGGAATGGGAACACCATAAGCTTTATCTTTCGTATCTTTGTTGCCTCAGTCCATTATTGGCATCTGTTCAATCAATTATGCCCATTAAAAGTTATCATTCATAAAATAATGATTATTATTTGAAGCTCTTCCAACAAAATCAAACTATAGATACTATAGAGAGGTTCTTAAGGAGAAAGATTAAATATATGTGCGACACAAGTCTTACTTCATATCTTAAAATAATGTATTTATGGTCTTTTATGATGTTTAATTTTGTTATTTCAAATTTCAACTTTAACTTACACTTAGATTGTTTCTAACAAAAAGAAATGATAGTGCATGCTGATTACCTACTACAAAAAAGAAGGGCATTACTGAAGGTCACAATCCCTCGGAAACAGCCAGAAACTGTCAGTAAAAGATCATTACCGACAGCTTATCGACGGTCAAAACACCGTCGGTAAAGCACTTGTCGCTAGCATTTACCGAGGGCTTTTGCCCCTCGGTAATTACTAAAGAGAAAAAGCCTTTGGTAATAACCGAAGGTCAAGAGCCTTCGGTAAGAACCAGGCAGAATTAAGTGATATTTGTATTTGTTATCCAACCACACAAACCTGCATAACATGTTCACATCACAGACAGACCTGAATAACATTTTCAAACCACAAACAGACCTCCATAACATACATTCCAAAATCATCCAATCATTAATGGAATAAACAACAATAGAATAACATCATTTGTATTGTTGAAATTTAAGAACTTGTATTTGTAAATGAAACATTAAACATAAAACATAAAACAATATGTTCATCTAGAAAATGTAATGTAACAAAATCATAAGGTAACATAAAAAATGTTCTAAAAACTATGTTCAATAACAAAAAAAAACTAATAATCTACATAGTCATCATCAGAATGATCTTCATCATCCTATTGCTCTATAGATGGCTGGACTGGTGTGGGCTGGACTAGTGTAGGTTAGACTGATGTGGGCTGGACTGATGTGAGCTGCTGAGGGACAGCGGGTGACGGGGAGGGTCGTGGCTGGGTCAAAGTGATAGTAGAATGGCAGCGCTCTAATAACCAGGGACTTGAAGTTTGTAAACTCGATTCTCAAGTCACTGTAATTTTCACTCAATTCATGATTTTCCTGGTCACGTTGTTGTAGTAATTGTGTCAAGTTAGTAGTAGTGGTGGAAGAAGAAGGTTGGTGCTTCAGAGTACCTCCTCTTGATGTTGTATAGTTTGCAGCAAGATTTCCTGCATCGACATTCGTCCCTTTTTCTTCCCATCAACGACATCGACCCAGCACTGTGTCCTACGGATGTCGTCGTCCTCATTAGTCGCATCATCCGGTGTAGGAGTTGACCCATGTGCGGATCTAACCTGTGAAAGTCTCGCAGAAAATTCTTCCTATTAAAAGCAATGTTAGGGAATGATACAATAACATAATGAAAAATTAATATTAGTACCATTGTTATTTGATTACATGAGTCTTCCGAGATCTTTCATCAACGAATTGATTAGTGCCCTTCCGAACATGAGTCTGTGCAAAGACCTCATCAACATGGACCACCCATCCCAAAGCTTGTGCCTGTAACATAATTTAGAGTTAAAAGTGTACATGAAATAAAAAATACATAAGTTATATATGAAAGAAACATAAAATTATTGAAAGTTTACCATACGAATGGCATGCTCATGAACCGTGATCGACCCACCAGTATGTAGGGTGCCACCCTCTTCAGAAGCTTTGTTTCTCTGGGTTGTAGCACACTTATTGCGAAACTCTGCTGAATTCCAATGAGCGAGTAAATAGTTCCAAATGTGCTCACCCAACCAGTAAGGGTGCTCCCCTGCATTGCGGGCATCCCTAAACATCTCTGACAGCCGATGAGATGCTTTCATGTGGAAATTTCTTTGTATTTGAGTTTCATGTTCAGGTTTCCATTGCATCTTCATCTGTAACAATAAACAAAACAAACATTGATTAATAAACATACTAAAATAAGAATGACAATTAGTTTAATTGGTTGTTTACCGTAAAACGCTCCCAGAATGGCTTTTTGTCATCTACATGTATTGCTCCCCAAATAGGCCATGGATTCAAATATTGTTACTTAATTAATCGTGTGATGGCCTAGGAAGGAACCTTGGATGGAATAAACCTGCATATAAAGAAATAAAAGTCATTTGAAGTAAGACAAACTTTGAACATCAACATTGTTAAAAAAGGGATTAAAGTCTTAGCCTTTACCATATGGCTCAATCCATGGTCGATCATGGAGGGGCGGGTTAACACCATCACCATCACCAGCTAAATCTGGATCAACAGATGGTGTGGCAGTCTCATAAGGCGGTATAGAAGATGAGGAAGGTATATAAGTAGGGTCAGAGGGAGAAGTAGGGGTAATAATCATGGGGGGAGGAGTGAGGGTAATAATCACAGGAGGAGGAAGAATATTTGTTATAGGGGTAAGAGGAGGGTATATTGTAGGGGTAGGAGGAGGGTGTACTACATGGGTAGGAAGAGGGTGTACAACAGGGGTAGGAGAAGGCCCCACAGATGATGAACTAGGGGCAGCAGTGATAGGTAGTGTAGCATGCACCCTAAGTACATACTTTGGTGCCTTTCGTTCCCTCTTTTTAGGCCTTGCTACTCCCTTTCCTTTATCACGACATTCTGAACCTTCTTCTATCATGACTGCATTCAAATGGTTACAAATAAAGTGAAAGAATAAAAAAGTATAAGGAAGGACAAGTACAAATTAATGTGAATGTAAAATAGTTGCATACAACTTTTAAGATGGTATTTTGCATAACTCAATTGGAATGTTTTTGAAATGATAGTTAAATTTGCTACAATAGATGTCCAACATTCAATCATCGTCATCATCATCTTCATCTTCTTCTTGTTCTTTATCATCATCATCATTATCATTATCTTCTTCTTCATCATCATATTCTTCTTCTTCTTCTTCTTCTTCTTCTTCTTCTTCTTCTTCTTCTTCTTCTCCTTCTTGTCCTCCTTGTATTGGTGCTTCTAACTCATCTCCATCACCATCAGGGTCGTGCAATGTGGTTATACGTTCAACTTCAATAATTTGTTGTGGTTGTGACATTTGGTCAAGTTGGTAGGCGACATCTTCCTCAACCTCATTTGGGTCAATGCGACCTCTAGGCTTGGTTTGTATTGCAATAGCCCAACCACGTTTGTCAATATTGCGGTGGTGGATATTGCACATAATAAACCTGTTTGACATTAGTTGGTAGAATGAAAGGATCAAACGGTCGATATCTTAATCTCAGGTGGAGTTCGACAATGTTAAACCTAGGATCCACTATAGTACCAACTCTAGAAGGATCAAACCATTCACAATAAAAAAGTACTACTCTGTTTGGAGAAGTAGTA